CTATAGCGTGATTAATTTTAATCGAAATATTGCGCGACAAACGAAGTACTCCGCGCTTCAAAAAACATTGACTTAAATGTTGCTTTCGATAAATCAAAATGTCTGAAAACAATTTTTAAAAGATCATTGTATAGATCGTAACGTTACGAGATCGTATATAAAAACAATCGGCAACTATTATATTGATCTGTAACCAGTTTGCAAAATGTCTTAAAATCTTATAAACGACGAGACACACTTGCAACATAACCGTACTAGTATTTGAGTAAAAGGCATTTKAAAATCATTGACTTAACAAGCATTTGGTGGCTCCTAAAAGAGCCGTTGTTTGTTTGAGATGATCARATCATCTAACCACCAAAACCGTACAGAGTACGTCCTTGGCGTTTCAGAGCGTACACCACGTCCATGGCAGTGACGGTCTTTCTCTTGGCGTGCTCGGTGTAGGTCACAGCATCACGGATCACATTCTCAAGGAAGACTTTGAGTACACCTCGGGTCTCYTCATAGATCAGGCCAGAGATTCGCTTGACTCCACCACGGCGAGCAAGACGACGGATGGCGGGCTTGGTGATTCCTTGGATGTTATCCCGAAGGATCTTACGATGACGCTTGGCGCCTCCTTTTCCTAGACCTTTTCCTCCTTTTCCTCTACCAGTCATGTTTATAAGGTTCGCTTCTCAACAGAATGATAACTATTGTGTAATGTTCGGAATATTATAGGCATACAGGTCGAACCTCGTAGAAAACAGAGCATATTGTAACATGATTGGTTCGCAATGTTACAATAGCATCACGTCTGATGTGATCCTTGTTTTGTTGTTCTTTGTGGCACAACGTACAGCTTGAAGTATATTCTCTCTTACTACAATGTCGGACATATCTGAAACCACGTCAATCATGAAAATATCACCAAGAAGTTTTCGATTGAAAAATTGCAAAAAAAACATTGATATTTTCGGGAGTATTTCAAAGGAAGAAAATTTTCGAGCTTGAAGGTTATCATAATTCGAGAAACGGCGGGATCACGAGTTGACCAATCAGGTTTCAGAAGCTATAAAAYTGACCAATCATAAGGCAACTTTGCTTGCCCAATCAGAGCSAATGGCKCTGAATCTCGCTGAATATAAATTTTCTGAGTTGACGCTCGTAAACATAATTTACTTCGCAAACACATTCTGAAAAGATGGCTCGTACGAAGCAAACCGCTCGTAAATCTACTGGAGGAAAAGCTCCCCGAAAACAACTCGCAACCAAGGCAGCACGTAAAAGTGCCCCWGCAACTGGTGGAGTCAAGAAACCACATCGTTACAGACCTGGTACAGTCGCTCTTCGTGAAATCCGTCGTTACCAGAAGTCGACCGAGTTGCTTATCCGCAAGCTTCCCTTCCAACGTCTCGTCCGTGAAATCGCTCAGGATTTCAAGACCGATCTTCGCTTCCAGAGTTCAGCTGTTATGGCCCTTCAGGAGGCTAGTGAGGCTTACTTGGTTGGCCTGTTTGAAGACACCAACTTGTGCGCTATTCATGCCAAGCGAGTAACCATCATGCCTAAGGACATTCAACTTGCAAGACGAATCCGTGGCGAGAGAGCTTAAACTGGTTCTCTACTAAACACAAACAACGGCTCTTTTAAGAGCCACCACACGCAATAAAGTCAATGCTATAATGCTGTTGTTACTCCTTTATATGCTATAAAGTATGCTTTTATATGTTTCTATATGAACAGCTAATATTAAGCTTATATGATGATATCCCCAAGCTATATAAAACAGAAAATTTTCAAACAAAGCAAGTCGATGACTTACAAATGCAAATAGTTTCGATTTTCTTTTTTTTTATTGTTAGATTATTCTATAACATCATTGATGATGAATGTTGAAAAGTTGAAAAGAAAAATTTCCAGACCCTCCATTTAATCACCCATCACCCTCACATAAATAATGAATTGTCCCTTATTTTCATTGTACTAACTGGTAAACTCATCAGTTTATTCAGCACTCAGACTCGACAATTAACCATAAGTAATTCAAACTATTTCTTAAATTACTTTAATTATTTTACTTCCATCCCTTATTGT